AGTATTGTCAAAAAATATATATAATCACACAAATAACAGTTGTCAAAAATAATACAGCTCTTTCTCCTCCTTCTAAAAGAAAATCTGGGCCGGCCAAAGAAACAGACTTCAACCCTCTGCCTCTTCCATTGCAGCCATCCCCACACAGATCCTGGAGACTAGGACACTTGGCAATAGTGATAAAAGTGGCTGAAATGAATAAAACAGCTTCATCCTGGATTCCTGGATACCTGTGCGATATATTCCCAGAAGACTCAAGGCTTTCCGGGCTGTGGGGCCCACCCCTTTTGCCTTACTTCCTCCAGGGAAAAGGAGGGAACCATGGAGAGGAACAGTGGGCTGCCAGGAGCATGGTGTCTCCATTCACAAGGAAGAAACCCTTCCAAAGGTACACTTCAATGATCTTATTATTAAACGTAGTGCATCTTGTGGGGGACAATGACCTTGTCTGAGTTTGAAGTGCAAAAGCTGCTGACTCCAAGGGGACTGACATCTTTACTAAAAATAAAACAAGGGGTATATTTACCCCTCATCCTCAACCCTCCCTCCTTAGAAATGAACTGTAATAGAATTAAAGGGCGCATGTCAGAAAACCTAATCTGCAGAATATGTGATGATGCTTTAGTCTCATGAAGTGTTCTGTTTTTCCCATTATAAATACCTTGGTTACTGCCAAACCTCTGCTTATCCCAAATGTCTTAGAATATCTTAGTATCACACAGCACAGATAGGGCCGCACAGACATTGAGTTATCATTTAATTCAATGTCTACTCACTGAGAACAGTTATCCTAAGTACACCTACCTGAGATCCTTTCTCCTACTACCATCAGTAAAGTAGCTTTTAATATTAGGAATTTTATTTTTTTTAATTCTCCCATTAAAGAAGACAATAATGTTTCCATTTAGACTTTGCCACAGGCACACTGGGCTGGAAGTGGAAAATGTGGTCAGTTTTTCTCATTATGTGGTAGAGTCTCATGGTCCAGTCCTGGCAGCAACCTTTGGGCATCTGGGTGGTATTAGGGAATATGCACAGGGTCTAGCCTCACCCTGTTACTTCCCAATGCCAGGTGGTCAAGGAAGACCTAGATGGCAGGGACCACCAACCAAAAAAACCAAACCCATTGTTGTCAAGTCACTTCCGAATCATAGCGACCCTATAGAACAGAGCAGAATTGCCCCCATATGGTTTCCAAGGAGCAGGTGGTAGATTCGAACTGCCGACCTTTTAGTTAGCAGCCGAACACTTAACCACTGCACCATGAGGGGTGTCTCCATAAAGTAGGCAGTTGATAGATATTGAACATTGAGATAATTACCTTGGATCTGAAATCTCAAGACCTGAACTATCAATATCCACTTTATCGGCCAAAAAAATAGACTCATCGTTTCACGTACTGGCTCAGAGAAATTTGAGAGCTTGAATACTCATGTAGTTGAGGAGGTTGTTTAAGGCAAGCAAAGCTCTGTTCTTCAGACACATCAGTTCTTTCTTCATACTCTCCTCCTTCTCTTTCTCCTCTTCCTCCTCCTCCTTCTTTTCAATGGCTGCTATTTCTCCTTGCAGGACGCCGTGGGTGGTGCAAATGGTTAATGCACTCGGCTGCTAATCAAAAGGTTGGAAGTTCGAGTTCACCCAGAGGAGCCTTGGAAGAAAGACCTGGCAATCTACTTCCAAAAAAGGAGCCACTGAAAACCCTATGGAACACAGTTCTACTTTGACATACATGGGGTCGCCATGAGCTGGAGTCCACTCAATGGCGACTGGTTACTGGTACTTTTCCTTGCATTGTCTGGGAGACTTAAGGCTCAGAGCCTTATGCAGAAGTTCATCAAGATCCCCTGCTTTGTTCCAGGCTATGTCTCCCAACCCCATGCCTATGTCCGTGTCCAAAACTCCCTTGTACTACCTCCACACCAGCTCATGTGCATAGCGCTAATTTTCATTTCTCTATTTCTGGCACCCAAGGAGGGAATTACGCTTTTTTTCCCCAAACTCATTTTTCTTACTAACTAGTGCTTCTGTGCATTTTTTGTGGGAGAGGGCAAATTCATATCAGCTCAGTTTCTCCTTATTGCAGGAAGTTCCTTCCATCTCTTTTACATCATGGGAAAAGATTCCACCAGGTTCTGAGACCTTGTAAGAATAAAATCTGATACTTAAGGAATAAATTCCAACAAAATTAATATAGCTTAAAGTATAACAGACTGAGTTTATATTGATCATATAAACTGTGTCTTCATCCTAGATTTGATGGACTGAATTGTGTCCTCCAAAAATATGTGTTGTAAATTCTAAACTCCTATATCTATGGAGGAGCCCTGGCGGTGCAGGGTTAAGAGCTTGGCTGCTAACCAGTTAAGGTTGGCAGTTTGAATCCACCAGCTACTCCTTGGAAACCCTATGGGGCAGTTCTACTCTGTCCTATAGGGTTGCTATGAGTTGGAACTGAATCGATGGCAACGGGGTTTTATACCTATGGATGCAATCCCATTTGGGAATAGAACTTTCTTTGTTATGTTAATAAGACCATATCAGTGTAGGGTGTGTCTTAAGCCAATCACCTTTGAGATATAACAAGAGCAGATTAGACACAGAGAAGGAAGCACAGAGGGGACGATACAGGCCACATGAAGATTGCCAAGGGACTGAGGCACAGAAAATGAAAAGAGACAAGGACCCTCCCCCAGTGTCGACAGAGAGAAAAAGCCTTCCTGGAGAGCCAGTGCCCTGAATTCCGACTTCTAGCCTCCTAACCTGAGAAAATAGATTTCTTAAAGCCATCCACTTGTGGTATTTCTGTTATAGCAGCACTGGATGACTAAGACACTAATTCATAAGCCATGTGTTTACAGGAAGAATTCTATTTCTTTAGAGTCATTAGATTTTTTATCACTGGAAGGGAACATCAGCTACCTTCAAGGCTAGGCAGATAGCACAGCTGAGTGACTCTGACCAGGTGAAGACCACAGGGAGTGGTGCAGACTGTAATAAAATGGAGACCTCAAGCCACATCTAGAGAGATTCAGATTCCATTTGAAAAAAGAAAAAAAGCCACGCTGAGGAATCCATATGCAGACTGAATTCAGCCCCAAACACCCCAGTTTACCAGTGCTAATTCACCCAATGCTCCTCACTGTGTAGCCAAAAGCCAAAAAACTAAACTCACTGCCATCGAGTTGATTCCAACTCATAGCGACCCTGTAGGACATAGTAGTATTGTCCCATAGGGTTTCCAAGGCGTTAAATCTTTACAGAAGCAGACTGCCACATCTTTCTCCCATGGAGCAGCTAGTAGGTTCAAATGGCTGACCTTTTGTTTAGCAGCTGAGTGCTTAACCACTGTGCCACCAAGAAATGAAATTTAGAGAGAACGAATAATTTGCTCAAGATCATGTAACTACTTACTGAAAAGCCAGGACTAGCCTGGCCCAGGTTTCCAAATCCAAGATCAAAATCCTTTTCCCTTCCCCATGCTGCCTCTAAGGGGCCCTGGTGACACAGTGGTTAAAGCACTCGGCTGCTAACTGAAAGGTCAAACCCACCAGCCACTCAGCAGGAGAAAGAAATAGCAGTCTGCTTCCATAAAGATTACAGCTTTGAAAACCCTATGGGGCCATTCTACCCTGACCTATAGGGTCGCTATGAGTGGGAATCGACTCTACGTCAATGGGTTGGTTTTTTTTTTTTTTTGGTTATGCTACCTCTGGCTCTTTAAAATGTCCCTTTAGACATAAGAAGGACCCACTTTCATGTTACTCTCCTTAAGTTAAATGTAGCCAAACTCTTTTTCCCCAGATTCCCTTTGATGACAAATTCTGAATACCAACAAGTTGGTGGAAAGCCCAAGTAGAAAGACAGACCCGGGCCTGTGTTAATGAAAAGGTTGAATGACTGTTATATAAGTGTGCAGCTCAGGTTTCCCCACCTCAGCAATGAACCCTAAACAACCGCAGAGAGCCTTGTAAATCACAGAGCAAGTCAGGAATTCACACCTGCTCACTCAGTGAAGACTGAAGCCCTAACACAATCACTTTGCAGTCATGGAGTGGCTGGAGGCCAGATTTTCGTCTACGAAGCACCTTGAGAAATGAGTTTGGCTTAGCTAACGGCCGAAATCACTCCTGACACGTAGACCCTGGCTGGCCACACTTGGGTGACCTCATGCAGGGCCACAATTTGCTTTTGACCTCTCAGTGGTATCACATTTGGGTATCACATTTGTCTTGAAGGAGTAAGATTATGCAGAAAAAGCGCAGTATGGTGTGGTGGCAAGAACATAACTTTTGGAACAATTGGGCCCACTTCTGAACACCTTCTCTGTTTCATTCAGTCCACAAATACTTACCGAGTGCCAGCTATGTACCAGGCACTATTCTAGGTCCCCTGGAGACGTGGTGAACAAAACAGAAAAATCCCTACCTTTATGAAGTTCACATTTTAGTGGAGGGAGACAGAAAATACATAAAATCAAAACCAAACTTGTTGCCATCAAGTTGATTCAACTCCATAGGGTTTTCTTTACTGAAGCAGATCACCAGGCCTTCCTTCCACAGTGACGCTGGGTGGGTTTGAACTGCCAACCTTTTAGTAGTTGAGTGCAAACTGTTTGTGCCACCCAGGGACTCTTATATAAAATAAATAATTGAATTATATAGCATATTAGAAGGTTATGGAAGTCAGGGATAAAATTAAGTATGCTTTGGTGAGTAGCATCTGGGGTCCTAAAAGCTTGTGAGTACCCATCTAAGATACATCTATTAGTCCCAGCACGTTCAGAGCAAAGGAGAATGAAGAAAACCAAAGACACAAGGAAAATATTAGTCCAAAGGACTAATGGACAACATGAACCATAGCCTCCACCAGCCTGAGCCCAGAGGAATTACATGGTGCCCAACTATCACCACTGACTGCTCTGACGGGGATCACAACAGAGGGTCCCGGATAGAGCAGGAGAAAAACTGTACAACAAAATTCAAATTCACAAAAGAAGACCAGTACTCATTTTGGCAGCACATACACTAAAATTGGAACGATACAGAGAAGATTAGCATGGCCCCTGCACAAGGATGACATGCAAATTCATGAAGCCATCCACATCCACATCCCTTTGGTGAAGGGAAGGACAACACACAATACAGGGGAAGTCAGCACAACTGGACCAAAGCAAAAGCAAAGAAGTTTCTTAGACACATGTAAACACTTTGAGGACAGAGTAGCTGGGAGTAGAGCACGGGGACCATAGTTTCGGGGGACATCTAGGTCAATTGCATAATATAGTTTATAAAGAAATTGTTCTACAGCCCACTTTGATAGCGTCTGGGGTCTTAAAAGCTTGGAGCGGCCATCTAAGATATATTAATTGATCCCATCCCATTGGGAGCAAAGGAGAATGAAGAAAACCAAAGACATAAGGAAAATAGTAGCCTAAAGGACTAAAGGACCAAAGGAACCAGAGACTTCACCAGCCTGAGACCTGAAGAACTAGATGGTGCCCGGCTATCACCAATGACTGCCTTGACAGGGAACACAACAGAGAGTCCCAGACAGAGAGGAGAAAAACGTAGAACAGAATTCAAATTCACGTAAAAAGACTAGACTTAATGGTCTGACAGAGACTGGAGAAACCACAGAAACTATGGCCACCAGACACTCTTTCAACAAGAGAACCGAAACCATTCCCAAAGCTTCAGACAAAGGTTAGACAGGACTATAAAACAAAAAATAATACATGTGAGGAATGTGCTTCTTAATTCAATCAGATATACGAGACCAAATGGGCAGCTCCTGTCCAAAAGCAGGATGAGAAGGCAGGAAGGGACAGGAACAGGACGAACGCACACAGGGAACCCGGGATGGAAAGGGGATGGTGCTGTCATATAGTGGAGACCGCAACTAATGTCACAAAACAATATGTGTATAAATTTTTGAGTGAGAAATTAACCTGAGCTGTAAACTTTCACCTAAAGCACAATAATAAAAATTAAAAAAAAAAAAAGACCATTTACTGGTCTGACGGTGACTAGAGGAACCCTCAAGACAATGGCCCCCAGGCACCCTGCTAACTCAGAACTGAAGCCACTCTCGAAGTCCACCTTTCAGCTAAAGATTAGACAGGACTATAAAACAAACAATAACACAAGTGAAGAACGTGCTTCTTAGTTCAATCAAGTAAACAAGACCAAACGGGCAACACTTGCCCAAAAGCAGAGACGAGAACGCAGGAAGGGACAGGAAACTTGGACGAATGAACACTGAGAACCCAGGGTGGAAAGGGAAAGGGCGAGAGTGCTGACAATTATGGGGATTGCAACTAATGTCACAAAGCAATTTGTGTATAAAATTTTTGAATGAAAAACTAAGTTGTGCTGTAAACTTTCACCTAAAACACAATAAAAAATTTCTTTAAAAAGTTAAGTATGGATGGGAGATGGAGAACGCAATTTAAATAGTGTGGTCAGGGAAGCTGCACTAAACAGGCAACATCTGAGCAAAGACTTGAAGGGGGTGAGGGAATGAGCTGTAATGATATACGAGGATGGGGTTCCATACCAACACCCTGACGGTGGGGCAAGCCTGGAGTATTCCAGGAACAACCAGGAGGCCAGCATGTCTGGAGTCGACTGAGGTGGGCTGGGAGTGGTAGGAGTTCATTGAGGCAATAACAGGTCAGAGGGGGCCGTCAGGCAAAATAGGAAGCTGAATGAAATGGGGAGCTGTTATAGGATAGATTTTGAAGAATTTCTTGGTAGATTGGATGAGGAATCAAAGACGAAGAATAGTCAAGAATGACCCCAAGGTTTTTGACTTAAACAACTGGAAGAATGGAGGTGCCATTATTGAGATGGGAAGGCTGAGGGAGGAACTGGTGTAGAGGGAGGAGGAGGATCAGGAGTTCATTTTTTGAAATGTTAAGTGGAGATGATGAATAAACACTCGCATATGAGTCTGCAACGCATGAGAGAGGCCCAGACTGAGGATATAAATTTGGGATCATATAAATGGGATTTTAAAACTATGAGATTCAATGATATCACTGAAGAGTGATGGTAGACAAGGAAGAGATGATAAGTCCTGGGCCACTTCAACATTAAAAGTGCCAAGTGCCATTTAAAAGCTGGGGGACTGCAGTGGATGCCCACTGGAGGATGGAGGCCCTCACTGTTACATCTGTGGGGAGTTAACAACCAAACCCTTCCCCAGGTATTGCCCTCAGATGAAGGTAGCTACCTCGCTCAAGGTTATGTCCCTGTCCCAGGACACCCTGTATTCAATGACTGATCAGTTTAGGGGTACAAACTCAGCCCCCTTGCCTCCATTCAAGACAAGTCAGACCTTCCCATCTCCAGAGCTCTTCACAGCGTTAGCTGAGGCCATGGCTGCGCCTGCTTCTCTCCTCAGCTTCTCCCTCCGCCTAACCCTGCTTCTTCCACTCCCTCACAGGTGTTGTTTTAAGAGCACCCTCAATAAACCACCGACACGCAAATCTCCACCTCGGAATCTATATCCCAGGAAATCTCTGTTCTAAAGCAGCGGCTTTGGACATAGCATTTACTTTGTTGGTTTTCTCATTTGTAACATGGTAATAATTGTACCTACATGGCAGGGTTGCTGTAGGGATGTTGTTACTTGTCATCAAATCAATTCTGACTCATAGCAACCCCACGTGTGCAGTGTATAGCTGCTCCATAGGGTTTTCAAGGCAGTAACCTTTTGAAAACAGATTGCCAGGCCTGTCTTCTGAGGCACTGCTGGGTGAGTTTGGCTAGTAGTGGAGTGCTTAATTGTTTGCGCCATGCAGGGACTCTGTTATAGAGGGTAAGAGATATTATATGTAAAGGGCCTAGAACAGTTCCTGGTTAATAGTAGGTGTTCAAAAAAAAGGTAGTTAAAATTGTTGAAATCAGATTTTCACTATTCTACCTTAAACTGTAAATAAGATTTGAAAAGTTGCCATCATAGTGCTCAGGAGGGGCAATGTCCCCTCCATGAACCTCCTAAGCCTCACCCAAGGTTATGCCCTCAACCCAGGACACCCTGGATTCAATGACTGGTCAATTTGGGGGGTACAAGCCCATTCTGATGCTTCTTTTACGTACTCTGCCAGCACCCTCTATGTCTCTTATCATAATTATTTGTTGCACTATTCTATATTGTAATTGCATATTTAATTTTCTCCCACCTGTCTTTCCTGTAAGTTCCATGTCTGTCTTATTCACAGTTGTATCTTCAGGGACTAGCACATTGTAGGCACTCTATAAATATTTATTGAATTGAATCGAATTAAGCTGAATTGAATCGATATCCTCCTGAGTTTATGGACAAAGGCCTGGCTCAGTTTGGCTCAGCTCTGGGAGTTATAGACCTGAGTGGCCTTTAATAGGAATTTGATCTGGTCCTGTGAAGTACCAAGAAGACTATCCATCCATCAATCCATTCATTTATATATTAAATCAAAACTAGCTTATAGAGCACCACTCTGCGCCAGGCCCTGGGAATGCAGTAGTGAACGAGATCTTATAGGCAAGCAGTGAGATAGACAATCAGCAACAAACAAAATAATTAAAAAAAAAAAAAAAAAAAATGAACAGGGAGCCAGAAGGGAAGAGAGACCTCATCTAGACAGAATGATAGAGACTTCTCTGAGGAGATGGAAGATGAAACCTGGAAATGAGAAGAAGCCATGTATGGGGAAGGTAGGAATGTTTCAGAGGAAGAATGATACTGAGAGGAGAAAAAAAGTCAGTGTTTTGAGGAAAGGAGAACACCAGTGTGAACAGAGCAGTGTGAAGGAGGTAAAGATAAAGCTGGAGAGGAGGCAAGATCAGCTCATGAAGAGCCGTGGGCATTTCATGCAGAGCAGTACACAGAATAAGAGGATCACTCTGGTATTGTCAAAGATAATGGGTTGTAGGGGAGCAAGTGGTAGGGGTAGGGGGTGGGAGGAACTAGCCAGAGGTTATTGCAAGAGATGATGGTGACAATGGAGATGGAGAAAAGTAAATCTCTTCCAGATATATTCCAAAGGGAGACACTCAAAAACTTGTTGAAATGGGAGGTGAGGGAAAGGAAAAAACCAAGAACGGCCCTTAGGTTTGGGCCTGATCAATGGAGTGAATGATGATATCATTTACAGAAATGGGGAAGATGGAGGTAAGGGGCGGGGGGCAGGATCTGAGGAGAGAATCAAGAGGTCCCTTTTTGAAATACTACATTTTGAAAACTCAAGAGGATGCAGCAGGGCAGCCAGCTGCAATGATCACCCTTCCTGGGCTGGCCCTGGACAAGAATAACACCGAGGCTCTCCTGGAATTTCCTGAAGTTCTTGAGGCCCAGAAGAAAGAAAAGGCCTGCAGTGCTGGGGGTGAGTAACCATCAAGAGAACAAAACATAAAGCAGCAGTTGTCTCCAGCAAATGTCGACACTCAATGTTCTTGGAAGCCAAACACAGGAGCTTGAATATCTGGAGCTAATGACCAGAAGGAGAGGTGTTACCCAATCAGGCAAACAGCTAAAGTAGAGCTCTCGGCTAGCTGCCCTCAATTCCATGAAGAAGGGTCCCTTCATTCCACATGCCACTGAAATGGAAACCAGATTTGAAAGCAAGCACAAGTCTGCCAGCTGGGTGCTGTTCAGACATCTGTGGACCATCAAGAGCCTCCTTGTGCCTTTGGTCCTACTCACACTGGCTTCATGCCAAGAAAAGTATATTTCTTTTGTGACCACTGGCCTGTCAGATCTGCGAAGTGTGCTTTGGGGCTTGCTGGGCTTCTGAAGTGTTGATTGTGGATCCAAGTTCAATGAAATCCTTGACAACTTCAATATTTTCTCCGTTTATCATGATGTTGCCTATTGCTCCAGTTGTGAGGATTTTTGTTTTCTTTATGTTGAGGTGTGGAGCCCTGGAGGCACAGTGGTTAAGAGCTATGGCAAGCTACGGCTGCTAACCCAAAGGTCAGCAGTTCGAACACACCAGTGCTCCTTGGAAACCCTATGGGTCAGTTCTGCTCTGTCCTATAGGATAGCTATGAGTCGGAATTGACTCAACGGCAACAGGTTATTTTTAGTTATGTTGAAGTGTAATCCATACTGAAAGCTGCAGTC